GTGTGGTGAGTTTGTGTGCGCGCTCCCCTGGCTAGAATTGGCTCCATTCACCTATTTGATGTAGAAGGTCAGCAGCGAGATGTCCGTTCTGTCTGCCAACACACTCTCCCCCTGCCCCGTCTCTCACTGTTTACTTATGCTTCAGGGAAACACAAACGCACAGCAGCAAAATGTATATTTAGGTGTGTAGACTCATGTGTTTGTGTGGCTTTTGAACATACCTGTAAACCAATTTTCTATCATCTCAAAATATTCTATTAAATCAGGTCCTGATATGAATCGTTGCACATTTGCATTGTGCGTAAAAATCAATGTGTCTAAAAGTGCGCTCCCTTATTTTTTCCCCACAGAGCTGCAAAATGCAGCCGGGCCTCAAGCAGCATGAGTCCATTTGCAGTACTTAAAGTACTTCAGACATAATGTGCTCAATTCATTTAGTCCTGAGAGTCTGTTGAAATATTGACCAAACACGAGGCACACTTAGCCATAGGTTGTGGGATTGAATGTGCATTTAACCACAGTAGCCACATACCCTGAATACAAAGATGTTATCCAGATGATCATTTGCCACTCCTAACACATTGAAAATATGGCCGACCATAAGGTGAAAGTGCAGCTCTTCTGTTGGATCAACCACACAGGTCAGTCATCGCTTCTCCTGCATTATTACTTACTTGGCTTTCCTTTTACTTTGTGGTATTCTAAACAATGGCAATAGAGTCAACACCTGCCACCAGGAGAGACCTCATGCAGCAACAGAAATCAAACTGTGAACCTTGGGACGAGCCAACAGCCACCTGAGCCACAGATGCCCTCAGGTTTCCCGAGTCTCACGTCTCTTTGGTACTTGCGTTTCTCATGCTTCCCCTTTTTTCTTACCTCCTCCATACAAATCAACCTCAAGGACTGACATCATTCGTTGCCTCCTCCACATGTTGGCAGATGTTTACAGCAGCTTAACTGCAGAGACTCATCAGTTACAGGACAGAGAAACTGTTTGAGAATATTCAGCATTTCAACGATTTCTGGAAGATGTCAAAAACACATGCACCAAGCACTGTAACAAACTTTGAACTGTTGTCAGTTATATTAAAGCTCCTCTTACTAGAAGGGGTTTACCAAAAATATACATTTGATAGTCTCATCAGATGTGAATGCAGTTACTGATGTCTGAAACTCCCAAATTGTCCATGTCCTCTTATACAAAAAATGAAGGGACTCACAGAAAAGGTTGTGCTTGCAGACTGGCATACTGAAGATGTGTCAATAAACCTAGATTCTGTAAGACTAATCTAAGACTGATATGACAAACATGTATTTTCAAAATAATCTTATTTCTGAAACTACTGACAAATTTAACAGATGCCTTTAGGCAAACAAGCTCATTTTGGCAAAGCAGCTTACATTGCATATCTTTGGTGAAATATTGGTTTATAGTTTATATAAGTTAAGATCACTCTTCCATAAGCCAGTTTAATGATTCTTTATGGAGTCATTTTAAACAAAGTGGACCTGACAGAATCTGCTTCTGCAGCAGTCCATGGATATCAGTCTGTGCGTAAAATGACAGAAAAACTCGGAAATGTTTTTTTTTTTTTTTTATCAGCACGTCCTCGTCGGGCGTGGCAGGGTTGTCTGCCGGGGGGGCTACAGCCGTAGTGTGCTCCGGGGCTGCTGGATGCTCCGTGATGGATGAGGAATGACAGATCGGGGTTAGCCGCCAGGGGAGTCCATTTTCCTCCAGTGCACGGCCCTACACGAGTGGAAAGCGAATGAAAAGGCATCGGACGCAGAGGAGGAAGAACCAAGATGCGGAGAGAGGAGTAGCCTTCCGGCTTCCCACTGCCTCCTCCTTCACTCTCCCTGTTCTCGGGTGCACCGCATTGGCGCTGCTGCCGACCCAGCCCAGTCAGCCGCCGCGGAGCTGCTGACAACTGGATGCGCCGCACACTACCTGCTTGGAAATCCGTCTATCTGCCTCTTTCTCCCTGACCGGGACGCAGATCTGCTGTCCTGCTTGGTGATGTTTAGACTTTGGGAAGGAGAGTGGCTGTGAGGAAGCGGCGTCTTGAGCATTTCAGCGCAATAAGGCACATCGACGCGCTGGGATCACACTCGCAAGTTTGCAGAGCCAACGTCACAAATGTAGCCCTATTTTTTTTGTAGCTGTTCTATGTTGGTTTCAATCATGGGTGTTGACTGAATGGCTCTCCCGGCTGCTAGGCAGGTACAAGGATGCACTCGTGAGGACTAAAAACTACGCTCAGCCATTCCTGGATCATGCAGATTCTGCCGCTTAGGACGTTATTTGTGTTGCTTGTCCAAACACATGTGTTGTTATGCCTAAAAAATAATGCAGAAGTTCGTAGTGAGGAGGAGAGCCGCGGCAGCGCGCACTCCGCCAGGAGTTTCCACGGGTCGCTCCGGGAGAATCATCCAAACAAAGCCCGGGACCGCGCACTCTCCCCGGGTTACGCCACAGGTGCGTCTCCAGTTATCAGAGGCGCCCTGAACTCCACCAACCCTTGGAAGAGGGTAATTGCTGGAGAAACGAGGCGAGTCGGACACAACAAACGCGACTTGAATAAGAGTGTGACACCCATGGAGGATCCCAGCGGCGTCTCACACTGGGACGCGACGCGCCATCATAATAAGAGGATAAAGTTGAATGGAGGTCTTAGAAGTACGGGGACGCCAGCAGGTGGACACTACAATGTGGCTAAGCCCTCTTCAATGGACGGAGGAGGGGGACCAGAGGAGGGCGACAAGCACATGAAAGGCACAAAAGAGGAGCAGAGAAAAGCCTGGAGGAGGGGGGGAAACGGCCAGAACAAAAGCCCAGTTATGGCCCAGGCTCACGTGTCGCCGTGGGAACCCATCCCCAAGCCGGTAGCCCTCACCTCAACCGACTTGCCCTTTGACCTTTTCACTAGGAGGCCCGAGTTTTTTACTTTCAAAGAGGAGAACCCTTGGGACGCCACGCCGATCACCCCTCCCGGCTCGCAGGATTTCGGGGGCGAGATCAAGAACCCTTTTTACCCGGTGACAAGCGAGACCTTTGGGGCTTACGCCATCACCGGCGTGTCCGGCGTCATTTTCCTGGTGGGCATCGCCGGCAACATTGCCATCCTGTGCATCGTGTGCCAGAACTACTACATGAAGAGCATCTCCAACTCCCTGCTGGCCAATTTAGCTGTTTGGGATTTCGTGCTCATCTTCTTCTGCCTGCCCATGGTGGTTTTCCATGAACTGACAAAGTCATGGCTGCTGGGGGAGTTCACCTGCAAAGTGGTGCCCTATGTGGAGGTAATTCTGCCCTGTCCTCTCTCAAAATGCTATCATTCTAATGTCAAAGTGTCAGAAACAAACATGTGATGTTGTCCTGGAGATGTAGTGACAGTGCTCTGTCAAAAACAAAGGGGGGGGGGCTCAGTAAGTGTCCATTATCCATCCTGTCTGAAGAATTCAGAGGCGTAAACGCCATCGGACACTTGTTGGATTTTCAGCCATATGACAGGCGGGTTTACTTCAGTGATGGGTGCACACATGAACATTTCAGTCTAGTCTGAGATGAGATTCAGTTCTAAAGCGCCAGCAGATCTGAGAGCTCTCAGACTCAGCTGCAAGATGTCACCACTGCCAGAAACACTGTTTGTCACATGTAAGACCTGCTGCAAAACAGTCTCACCTTGCCCTCCAGGTATTAACACACACAAACACACAGCAGAGCCTTCAACAGCCGCTCGCTGTCTCCCATTCCTTCTTATACAATAGATTATGCTGCAGTTCCTCCTGAGGCTTTCAATAGTCACACTACAGGTAGAAACTGTGCAAGAGAGCCTCTATTTGCATCCAAGTAGTCCACCTTCCATTCTGCCCTTGGCCCAAGCTGGTACACTGGTGTCGGTTTAACCAACTAAATGTCTTTTTTTCCATGTGTGGAGTCTTCAGTTTGTTTTGAAAAGCTCCTGTTACAGCAGTTTCAGTGAAGGATAGCTATCACTTAGCTTCTGTTGTGAAAGAAAAGAGACAACAGGTGGAGTAAGTCTTAGTTTCAAAAGTTAGTGGAATCAGGCGGTGAGGCAAAAATGGGGGCGAGTGACCACGCTGCTCTGCACTCTCCAATCAGACGGGAGATTGTCGGAGCGTGAGATGGCAATGTGAGGAGCAGGGCCTCCTGACCCTGGTGACAAAAAATACCGTGCCGTGTTTAAGTGGGACAAAAAGAAACACGAGACATCATGAATGGGGACAAACTGTTGTTTCTAAATCAACAGAGGGTGTGGAATGAAACACAGAATGATACCACTGATGGGTTTTAAAGATACAGTACGCCTGCAGAAACAGAGGCTTTTTGTTATTATCTACCTGTCAGCTCGGGCTCATCTGGCACTAAATTATAACTTGACTCAATGTTTTGTTTGTTGGTGTAAATGCATAAAGGCATTTGTTTGTAACAGACCATCATTCTGCACCAGTAAGCAGAGATTAGGTTTTGAGGTGCATTTTCTTTTATGGACCACTTACACTATATATAACATTAATTACATGCCGTCCTGTTGCACAGTTGGGGATGCTGGAGACACCTTGTGAATGCACATGCTTTAATTATTTTTGGATCAGACAGAAACAACCCCCCCTCCTTGTGTTATTGCCCATGAGCTACCCAAAGGCCGCGCGGGTAATATTCATTAACATAACCAGCACTATTTCAGTGTGTGGACCAATGGCTATTTTTAAATCAGAGTGGGTGTTTGTGATGAAGTGGTGCTCATTTGTCCTCATGTGTTTATTTTTTTCCATATGAAGACGACTATTGGGGCATGTGTGCTGGGTCCCGTCTCTGTTTATTGGAGTGTGTGCGCATGTATGTGTCAAAGCAGCCCATGAGTAATGTAGCTTCAGGCCGACAGTTTCTCTGTAGAACATTCAGTCAAAACACACACACACACACACACACACACACACACAAAACGGGGCAACGTTATTCTTGCTTTAACCCAAACTGAGTCAAGCTGGACATTAACATTAACATGCTGTGGTGCTTCCTCCACTAATCCTCGTAGTATTAAGAACTCAGGGGAGTGTGGCATTGTCCAAACCACGTAGAGAAAACCATATTTATAGTCTTGCATGTGAGCACATGCACTAAACTAAAATTGTGGTTGATGACCAGTTGAAATTATCTGAGAAATGTTTCCCTTCTATAAAATATCCTGTCAGAGTAAGCTGTATGAAAAATAACTGTATTGAAACTCAATATTCTAGGGATAAAAATTGCTCCTCTGTAAAGGTTTATATACAGAGCACGCTGAAACAGAGTTAAAGGAAATCGTTTGTGGTATCACACCCAGAAAATAGAGGAGTAAGAGGCTTGTTGCTTGATAAAGCTAGTGCTGTTCATTCCCATTCTTCATTAATCACCTTTTCGGAAGTACCATTTCCAAAGTGTATTGACTGTGTAAAACAAAACAACAAAAACTGCTTATATTTGGTTTAAATGATACAACACATTTGACATTTTCATTATTTTGTAATTAAAGTTCATTAAATGTGGCTATAATAATGTAAGTTGGTGGCTCAAGCTAGCTTGTTACCTTTAGACCGATCGGTAAAAATCTATATTGCCAGTTTGCTTTGACAGTTTTTGTTTCATGCGTCTGAGCTCTGCTGTGTTAGCTGCACAATGCCCTGCAGTCAGAAACTGTAGGCTGTCTCCGACAGGCTTCTGCAGACAGAAAGAGAAACAGACCATTGAGGAAGAGCAGAAAAGAGACTCAGGAAAGCAAGAGAGAAATAGACTGGAGGACAGAAAAAGAAAGAAAAAGGAGAAAAGGATTAGACAGGGCTACATGGAGCCACAGAGGGCCAGAGGTAGACCTATGAATAGCTCTGAAATTGGCGGCAATGGCAGAACATACATCAGCTTGACATATGCACTCTCCCAACTCACACACACTTTCAGGAAACTGAATTGGAATCACAACTTGGGCTAACGTGTGTGTGCTTGCGTAAGGTCTGTGAATATTTGGCTATTTCACAAGGAACTCCCACATGGAGTTTCAGTTTTCTCCCAAATCATCCGATATTCCAGATCAGTCACTGTGTCGTGAGGCACTGACCCTTTATGCACAATTCTGCAGATATCCACTATCTGGTTATCCATTAAAATAGGCCACTTCTCTCAGATTGCATCTTCATCTTTCTGTCTACATGTCCTTTTTGGCTTTTTCATATAATCAAGCCAACTATCTGTTGTGTGGACACACACACACACAGATTCAGTGTGTGTGCTGCAGTCTGTACAGTGTGCTGATCTTCCAGATGGGTGGGATGGCCTTGCTCCTACTGATCACTGCCCACGGCTGTTCTCCCCCTCCTCCTCTTTGCATCAGCTATCTGTGATTAGAAACAAGCCTCAGGGGGAAGACACACTCACAGAAAACAAGGGCACACTCGGAAACTCTTTTCCCCATGTACTGAGTTGTATGGTTGCAGCTGACAACAAAGTGTGAACAGTAAATGCACAAATATGCTAGTATAGAGTTTGTGCCCTCATCATTCTCAGTCTGCCTGAATGGCCCTTGGATAATGGTTAATTATGTAAATTATTTAAGGTATGTAATTAGCACCTCTATATAATGCATGATGTTAAATTCATTCAGCCAGGTTTTCAGCCATGGATGTGTAGATATTGTTTGTTTGAGAGGAAACAATGTCACAACAGCTTTCTGTAAAGAATGGGATTTCTGTTGGGGGTAATTAGGCAAACTGATCATTACCCATGCAAATGTGAAATATTAAGCAGATAATTATGGCCACCACAGCCCATCAGTTTTGGATCAACATGGAACGGGTTAGCACGTTGCCAGGCATCACAGATTTGACCAGAATTATTGCCTCTAACTCGACTTTGCGGGCAAGAATCAATGACCTGGAAGTGGTCTCTTTCAGCAGCTATTGTACACTGAAAGCAGGATGCTTTATTTATTTCTTTACATCCGAGGAAAATCTGCCACCACTCAGGTTCTAATTTGTAGAGGAGAAATATAGTGGCTTGCAGAACGAGCCCCAGATGTCCCGTAGAACACTGAACAGTGCAATAGAGCCCTGACAGAGGGAGCTTTTAACAGGAAAGAAAGCAAAGTGTGGAGGTTTATTCTTATACTTTAGGAAAAGTTGCTTTAAAAACGCGACTCAGGGTCAATGTGCTGATTCGCTTCAAAAGAATTCAAACAAATATGCGAGGAACCAAAATTTCTCTAATGAACTCATTTCAAAACTGAACAATCAACACAGCAGCTGAGACGGAGACATCCTGTCCACTGAAGATGGAAGGCAGATTGGCTTTGCATGCTGGATTTGAGACATAATTGCCATATATTTATTTATCCCTCATTCCATAGCATTAAACGAAAGGGAAAGATCCTAACCTTTAAGTAGACTGTGTGGAAATGGGCAGGGAGAAACTGTCTGTCTGCCATGAACCCACGGTTGCAATTTTAAGGTTTTTCATTTCCATCTATATAATGACATAAGTAGGATATTCAGTTGCTCTGTGTTGGCTGAGGGGGCGGAAACAAACTGCATTCTTTATTAAAGGAAATAAAGAATCTGGGTTTTTACAAAGTGAATGTGTCAGTCAGTTAAGAGCTGTGCATATAGAGATTCATCAAGGCGTCTTCAGGGATGATCGCCATGTTCTTTCTTTTTCTATGAAATCATTTCCACACACACACCTCCTGCTGCTGCACTGTGTGAGGGTCCCTTTCAGCATCTATTGTACACTAAGAGCAGAATGTGTTGTTTATTTACATCCAGGAAAAATCTGCCTCAGGTCAGGGTTTAATTTAATAGAGGAGATGGGGCTGGAGAGGAATATGCCTCTTTATCAGCTTTGTGCCGTGCGGGGCTTGTTGTGCATGAGATCAGATGATATAATCATTTGTCAAATGAGAGCCCACTCTGATGGTTTCCCTAGCTTTTAGGTGAATATCTTACATTGACCCAGTGTTAAACATGTAGCAAAACTATATTTACCTGGATCTTAATGGTCAGATTGAAATATCTACTGGCCTTTTTTTTCTTTTTTTAAAAAGCCATTTGCACACTAAAATAATTTTCATCTTGAATCTTGAAATTGGGTCAATTTGTTCCAATATATTGTTTGGCAGCATGCCCAGATTTAGATCGGACACATATATAACATGCCAAACTATTTCCAACTGAAATTTCTGTAATACTACATATTTTTCAGACAAGTGCAGCCACACATACATGGGTTCAAACCCTCATCACTCCTTTCTGGGAGATGCAGCCAAGCTGATAAATGGCTGCTGTCAAAGGCAAAGCCTTTCTGGCCAGAGGGAAGGTTTGCTGGAGCCTGCACTGGGTCACACACACACACACACAGACACACACACCTTACATTAACTACCACAGGTGGAATAACCCTTCCACCTTGCCTCATTTCTTTAAGACGGTACCGTATGAGTGCAGTTGTGGCTGTACACCTGATGACATCCATTATCCCTGACAGTGGCTGTAGAAGCACTCCGACAGTCCTCGTTAGCACACAATTAATACCAAGTCTTTGTCACCAGCACTCGGAACCTTTAATCAAAGACCTAATAGGTCATTAATGAAAGCAGCGTCTGGGGACGTTGTCTCCCTCTGTCCTGATACACAGTCAGAACATGAGGAATATGTTGGGGATGAAGGGCCTTTTCATGCTTTATTCTATTGAGCTCTTGAAAGCCTAGCGTGAGAAGTCTGATTCATTACAATTTGTTTTAAAATTGTACTCAGAAAGTAAGTAAATTTAAACCAAACCATTTCACTAGATGGGAAACCAAAACTACTTGTGTACATCTCAAAATTCTCCATCAAAATTCTCACTCAACCAAAATCATTCTTATGTAGGGGAGTTGTATAGATTAGGTTTACTTTCACCTGTAGGTTTGAAATGGGTAATGAAAGTTCCAGGGATGATGACGTCAGGCTGCTGTTAGGACCAAATGTCACAGAAACACCTTTAGTCGTTTTTCGTGTCAGGGCTCGTTTCCCACCTCCTTCCACTTCTTCACCTCTCAGTTTTCTCTTTTCCCTCAGTCTCTGCGTTGTGCTCTCTCATCTGGATTTTCAGCTTCCACAAACATACAGCTTCACCGGCTCTGACTCTTTTGCACTATCTTTCTCCCTCATCTCCCAGCCAGTACAAAGCAATGCTTGTTCTTACTGCCCTTGCTCTCCGCCTCGACACGCTGATCAAAGCGCGGTTTCCCGGGGCTCCATGTCAGCCTTTAAAGCCATTCCAGCCATGTTGTTCAAGTCATGAAATATTCACCGTGTGCAAGCACCTGTGCATCCATACCAGATGGTGAGCTGTGCAAGTCAGTCAAAGCTGATAAGCGGGTGAAACTCCATGCTTTTTAAAACATTTTTAATCTAACTTACGATTATCTTTGTTTCTATACCTCCTGTTTACCCACTTATTCTGTATTAAAACACTGCTTGCCGTGTCACATAAACAGAGATATGCATTGTGTAAAAGTGAACAGGCTTAAGATAAATAAATAAAAACTTCAGAGCCTAAAATAACCGGCCAGACGGCGCATTCACAGACCTGCATTTAAGAGAATTCAACCACCTTTTCTATTTTTTGAGACTGTGGGGATTCTGAGTCACTTAACACTGTTCAGAAACTAGCTGGCATCTGGCTCTTGAGTGGGACGTGAGCGTGTTGGATCAGCATTCAGTCTCATGTCTGCCACCGAGACACTTGAAGTGAGACGGGATGCTCATCTGTGTTTTATATACACTTGGTTCAACATCAGAGGGAACATTTTTCACAGGGATGCTACTCTGGGTAACAAACACATTCCCAGCACATGTTTTCTTTAAAGAAACGCTCTCTGACTTAGTCTGTCAGAGTCTTGGGTTCTGAAACTGATGGTAGCGACTCACAGACAATAAAATAGGGATTGATGTGGTGGATTCTTTTTTTTTGTCCAGCCTGAATCTTATATCTGTCCTTCTGTTTAGTGCCGATTCTTTTGCAATCCAGTGAAAGGCAAAAAGCTGCCTGATTATCACAGAGTATTCATTATGATCAGACAGACATCTTATAGAATACAGTGCAATGTCATCTCTTCATATTGCTGTAGTGATATGCTTGTCATCTGGCTGGTCGAGGAAAAAAGGACTAGTGAGAACAATAGGGAAGGCTTGTTTTAACAGTTTCACTTCCTAAACGATAAAAAATAAACAACATTTTCTTCATTTCTTTGAGTTGCTTGCTATGCATAACAGATGTATTTGAACTCTAGCCATATTTATTTGACAAAAAAATCTTTAGTCCTTTTGAATTGCCGTTAAATGGTGTGTGGGGTGTTTAAAAAAAATGAGAAAAAGCAATAAACCTTAGACCAAAGTCACAATGATCACACTGTTAAACATGCTGGATCCTGTGGGTCATTTTTCTACCCCAGTTACCCCTTTTATCACTGTATGGTTGCTTTTCATTATCCTGGTTTAGTCTCCATGTCTGTCAGGTTGGTCCCCCGTGGGTGTTGGTCAGGGTTAGCACACACACACTCACATTACGGCCCAGCAACAAAGAACATCTTGCACTGTGTACGTCAGTGTCTGTCCAGGAAGTTTGTGTTTACAGCTCAGAAACTGTGGCTCACCGAGGCCATCTGTGGAGCTGGCTGTTGTAATTAGATTTTATATGAAAGGGAGGGGTCTGTAAAGGGGAACAGAGGGTGTAGAACGGAGAAGAAGATGAAAAAATGAAGTAAGATTCAGAGGGAGAGAAGATTAGCAAGGTGAGTTAGGAGGGGGAGGGAGTCAGTGGGTCTGCTGGAAGGAGCTGGATCTCATAAGAATAGAGGTGCACACCCACTTCAGCCAAAGTGGAACATTTTCAGGGTAGCCACTCTACCAAAGTGCCAGTTAATCCAACAGCCAGTGAGGAAAATTGTGCACTCTGGTAGTTTGACTCCTCATAGCATCTTCTCTTTTGTTAGATATGCGCTTCTGTGTTGCCTCCTGTTTCCATCCCTGCTTTCATTTCTCTCTCACACACACTTTCAGAGATACCAAGTGCTATTAGGAGCTTAGAGCTCTCCTTTATTCCCCCGTTGCCCGTAATTGCACCAGAACCAGGTGTACCTTAAGGCTAATATCATTAGTGAGGACCCTGCTGTGAGATTATGGTGAAATCTTTACCTTACCAGCAGCCATTCTCTTTGTGATGAAGAAATTTAACACAATCTATACGAGACGTAATTTAGCCATTTCCATTTCTTTTTTCTGACAGCCTAACAGCTCTGACAATTACTCAGAGAGGTGTCACAGTATTGGAGCTGCTCACACATAACCACCTGCATTTTGAGATGATTTGTCATTACAATCTCAAACCACTCCAGTTAACGGTGCTTGCAGGCAGCATCATTTAGTGAATAAAAGCCCCTGGAAGCCACTAGAACTTATGGGTCAAGAAAAATGTAACTGTCTGTGACTAAAATCAAACACATTTTCAGGATGTCACACCATCTCTTTCCTGTTTGCGCAGGTGGCCTCCCTGGGTGTGACCACCTTCACCCTGTGCGCTCTGTGCATCGACCGCTTCCGTGCTGCCACCAACGTCCAGATGTACTATGAGATGATAGAAAACTGCACTTCTACGACCGCCAAGCTGGCCGTCATCTGGATCGGCGCCCTGCTCCTGGCCCTCCCGGAGCTTCTGATTCGGCAGCTGGTGACGGAGGACGCGGGGCTCCTGGACGAGCCTCCGGTGGAGCGCTGCATCATCAGGATATCCACCTCGCTGCCCGACATGCTCTACGTGCTGGGCCTGACCTACGAGGGGGCCCGGCTGTGGTGGTGTTTCGGCTGCTACTTCTGCCTGCCCACCCTCTTCACCATCGGCTGCTCGCTGGTGACGGCCCGCAAGATCCGGCACGCCGAGCAGGCCAGCGTGCGCAGCAACAAGAAGCAGATCCGGCTGGAGAGCCAGATGAACTGCACGGTGGTGGCGCTGGCCATCGTCTACGGCGCCTGCGTGGTGCCCGAGAACATCTGCAACATAGTGTCGGCGTACATGGCCGCCGGCGTGCCCGAGCGCACCATGGCGGTGCTGCACCTGCTGTCGCAGCTGCTGCTGTTCTGCCGGGCGGCCGTGACGCCGGCGCTGCTGCTGCTGCTGTGCCGCCCGCTGGGCCGCGCCTTCCTGGACTGCTGCTGCTGCTGCTGCTGCACCCACGCCCCCCCCTCCTCCGCCACCGCCAGCGACGACAACGAGCACGAGTGCACCACCGAGCTGGAGCTGTCGCCCTTCAGCACCATCCGCAGGGAGCTGAGCAACTACACGCCCGCCGGCTCCAACTGCTGAGGGGGCGCTCCACGCTCTTAAATGCGACTAGGAGAAAATTTGCCTTACCTAGTCCACTCACATTTCCAAACAGGTGCAGAAATGAGATTGGAAATCAATTAAAAAGAGTCTTTCGAAAATCTTTTGGGGGACAACTACTGAAAAGCCCGATCTTTTTCATTCAAAGCCTGTGGTGCCACATGAACAGAGACAATACATGTTTTTAGCAATCCAACCTGAAGCCTTTAAGATTTACAGGCTTTGTATTTCCAACAGTCTTTTGGTAGTTATGACTGCCTTTTAACCAGTCCCATTCCTGGCTTCAAAGGGGTTAAAGGGGTCAACAAATTGTGAGTAGAAATGTTTTGGCTCTCCTGAACAATATTTTATGTACAAAGCAAACTGGTATAAATTAACTCAAGGGAGAAATAATCCAAGCCAGCCACCTTAAAAAATGTGTCAAAGTTGAATTTAGGGGACTCCAGTAACAAACTTTTTTGCATTTTGTTGAATAACTCAGACACGGCATCCAGCTAAACATGTTGGCTAACACTGCCCACAGGAGTAAGTAACTGCGTTTTACAGACCACATCCGCTGCAAATGTGCAGACAGAACAGGAGAACAAACACACGCGAGAAAGGCTTAGAACAATGAACGCAAATCAGTTCAGATGCACACAATTACACTAGAGACTGTATACGGTAGAATCAGAAATAACTGGGCTGGTCTCAGATATATCCAAACGCAAGCCTGAGTGATGTTCAAATGGTTTTCATCTGGTTTTCTTGAGGTTGATTTCGGGTTGAGTGAAGCTGAGCGAAACACTACAAATGGAACTGTTAGTGAATGGAGTGGACAGTAGGATGAAAAGGATGTGACCTGAAAGGGAAGGACTCAGGACTTGACTGAGATTCGAGGCATCTGGACTCGTGTTTCGCCTTCCACCTTGGGCTGTATATACTGTGTTCTGTACACTTTCTTTGGTGCTCTTACGATGAATGCACTGTAAACAAATTCATTGGTTCAACTTACGATCACAAGCAACTGAGCTGCGTTCTTTGTCTTGGGTCAAGAAGACAGATTATAGTCATCATCTGAGTTATGAACAATAGACAAAACAATTCAGTAAACCAGAAGGAAAATGAGCAGTTTCACTGAACTTTGCACATCTACAATTTAGTTCTCTGGTAGCATCTTTTTAATGATCTGTAATAAGTCAAAACAGTGTCTGCTTACTCATATTGTACAGTTTACTAAGTGCAGTAATAAAATCATATTTACATTTTATCATTTCATTTTCACACAGTTATTGTAAAATTGATTTTTTTTAAGTTATTCATATTATTAACTGTCAGTTAAGCCAAATTACATTGTAAATACTGTAGGAGGATTGTAAATATCCAAGGAATTGTATCTTTTTATTGAATAATCACTGAAAAGTTTACACATATCACCTGATCTATTTGAGTTGTTTATACATAGCTTATTCATTTGTGAACGGCAAAACAAAGTGCCACTCCTTACCTAAATTACCTTCTCATTCACACTTCAAATTATTTTGACAAATATCTACAAAGCCAATAGACACATGACGGGACAGACCTGCATCGTGGGAATGTGGAGAGAACCTGTTGTTTGTGTCGAGTACTTTCAACCTTTTCCAGCAGTGACAACATCCATCAGCAGAATTAATTATGTTAAGATAATAAAAGTATATGAGCAAAACAAGCTGTGCTCTTTTATTGAGCCAAACCAAAAGTGACTGCTTTGTCCTCACATGATTTGTTTACATGTAACCAAAGTTGCCCAGAAAAGGTGACTTTTGAGGCAGCGTTATTAAAAAAAACTTAACCCTTTAATGTCATGACTTAAACCAAATCAGGAAGTGACCATGGTGGTCTCATACTATTGACACATGCTAAGCTAGATTTGACCAAAAGGCCCATGACTGAAAGTGCCACTCTGATCTATCTTCCCCGCCCCCCTTATTTTTCCTTATGAAAACTTTCTTGCTCCTCAAATGGAAAAAATGTTTGTGAGCAGAACAAGACATCATGCTGAGCCATACATTAACTACTCAGTTTTCTCTGTGCAGCTGCAATGTCTATCAAATTATGAGACGGCCAAAAGGAAAGACCACGACTGTTCACCAGACTCATCCCACAATTAGTTATAATCCAGTCATTTCAAGATCTATAGGATTGGTGACAGCTAACTAGAAAGAGGAAGCCTATTTTTGGCACCATTGATTAGAATGCTTGGACTGTCAGGGTGGGGTTAGTGAAACCTTTTGCAGTCTCATCTCTTGAGCTTTTAAGGAGAACCAATGAAGTGTTTTCACAGTGTCCACGTCTACAAGTGTATTGTACTGTAAATCTGTTTTCTTGCACCTAATAATCATCCATCAAAACAGGGGTCAAACCACTACAGTATTTATTACAGCTCAGACACATTGAAGGTTACAGAAAAGTAACGATTAACGTGTATATAAAAGCTACAAAAGAAAACTGCTCTCAATGGGGAATCTGAAATGAGTCATTTTTCATTTTCCCAACATCAATTATTTCCGTGACGACCCAGGTTTGACGTTCACTTGTATACTGTATACTATGATGAATCTTTTGCATATGGTTCTGCACTGCCAAACACATTTCCTCCGTCTCTTGTGCTCTTGTGGTATAGCACTATCTTTGGGTGTCTCTCTCAGCACAGAGGTCACTTTACTTTGAGCTCCATCGTTAGAAGAGGCAGAATCCTCTTTGAAAACAGAAATCTCCTGCGAGCTTTTCGCTTTGATGAACGCCATATTAGGGGTCTGCAGAAAGATGCAGCTTCTGGTTGGTGTTGCCTTCAGTGGTTCACGTTAATTTAGTCAATCGGCAGGAATGAACAGCCTGTGGACAGCTCTTTTTTATTACCATCACTATCAGGTCTCTGCTGGCCAGTGTGTAACTCTGCCTTGTGACTTAATTTTTTTCAATAAAACATCCTTTTTCTTAGGTAATTTCGTGAGGAAGTCTACCACCTTAATGATGGAACTTCTCTGTAAACTGGCCTCTAAACCTAATCATCTTTTTCTGCATATTTCTGGAAGTATAGCTCATAAATGGCTCAGTATGTAGTGATGTGGTTGAAACTATGAAGTGATTATGTAAATCAGTAAGTGAGACGTTTATTCTGAATTTTGTGAGTATTCTCTTCACTCTGAGCAAAATGTGTCTGTATTTGATGCCTAAAAATGTAAGCACACTACCACTATTGTCTCTGAGTCTAGTCACTGGTTTCTAAATAGCTTTTTATAGCCAAAAAAAGTGTCCCTTTGTTTATCAAAAAAAAAAAAAACTATCATGAAAACTGTAAATTAAAATCCTAAATGTACCATTTGTTGTACTGTTGGTGGATTTCTGCAAAACCCTCTGATACAATAAAGGTATAGAATTACTGTGCCATTAAGTATGGCAAAATTCATCATATGTTGTAGCCAAGCTCAGTACATATTAAAGTAAAGATCAGAAAGGGGAGCATCCTCCCCAATTATGCTCTCCTCCAGTCACTGGTAATAAACTATTGGAATCTTTGCATTTAAATAGTTGCCATGGGTCTCAACTCAACTCTTCACATCACTGTAAATGCTCCACTGTATTTTGGGATTTGGTCTGTTTGTACTCTGTGGTTTGAAAAACTAGAATGACACTCAATGGGTTCATTTCAGCACCAAGGCCAAAGCCCTGCCGAGTAGTTTGAAGAAATTCTAATGCCACATTTTATATTCGACCAGTCTTTTCTTTGCCCGTTCATATTCAAAGAGATCTCTAAAATAGTAGTTGGTTAGTTTTTGAGGTATTTTGCTTTGTCTGAAGCTGGATGAGGCACCACAAAGACGCGGTGACAGACAGGCAATATGGTTGGTAGACAGCTTTGGTGTAGTGTCAGCCTATGTCAAATCATCACTGTCATTCAGCTGCCTCAGAATATCAAAAGGATCCGGTGACAGACTATACATCACGTGCAAAAGCACTCTGAAGCCTTCTGAATATTCCCCAGCAGTCTGAACCTGCAAACTGCAGAGAATCAAAGCTGCTTACTTCTTCTGCAACAACTTCCGCAACCCAGTTCAGAGTTAAAGGTTAGATGGTCACGTTGTGGAATAATTGGATTTACTTGGCTCCCATGATTGAATATGGAGACAAAAGAATATGTATTACATGAACAGATTCACTCCCTCATGTCTGCACAAGTTGATCTACAGATATGAAAAATCCCCACTTTAATAACACTTTCCCCTCGCTGTTAGTGAGTCAGTCATCCTAAAGCTGCGAGGACCCACAGATATATCACAGTAAAAAGTGTCCTCATTTTTTCCCCGTCATGTAACGGGATAGTGTTTGAAGTATTCATCATTGATGTATCACTGTTCTAACACATCCTACACTCCCTCCCTGGCTCCTCTCTGGTGCCTCGCATCCAAAATGTTACACAACGATGACGCTAGCGGCCGACGTCCTGGGCCTGTGTTGGACACCAGAACAGAACCGTTTATGCCTCCTGTAACATAATTAGCTGTCATACCGGAAACACTGTGCAGATGCCAGAAAGCTTCCACAACCTCAAACGATGTCTCACTCGGTTCCCCAGAGGACGCTCTTCACTCCCACTGTAGTGAGGAGGTGGTCTGTTATGTTGTCTTATTTTAAAACAGAAAACGAAGGCTGAAACGAAAGTGAGAACGATGTGGGAGGAAAGGTGGCAGAAATGTTGATTCAGTGATTGTTAGAATGACTTAAACACTTGTAACACAAGCCTAAGACTCTATAAATCAAAAAGCTTTAAGATGATTCTAATTTTAGTGCATCACCATTAAACCAGCTGCCTTTTGAACAAGGAATCAAGCTCTCATCTATCCATCTCCATCAATATGTCTCAGAGAGAAAAAAAAGAAAGGTTAATTGTGGATTTTGATCAAATCTGACATTTTTTTCTCTTTGAAATGTGACACATTTCAACCTTTTTCCTGTTTCCA